AAAAAGGCGCTTCAGCCCCCACCAGAGTACGGCGAAAGGCGCCCACCACCCGTCGGTTAGTTCGCGGTGGACGCCGGTATCGTTGCTGTCGGTTTCCATCGCCGCATTCTAACCCCCAATCGCCCGCAGCGTGAACGTTGTGTTCACGCTGCGAAGCGGGGCGGATCAATAGCGGCGAGCCCACGATGTTAATCGTGGGTGGGAAGCTAAGACCCGCTTCCCACCGACGACTAACGTCGCGAGCCTCGCCGTCGATCTCATGGCTAGACCTCGCTTGTGGCGCCGTTGGCTTCGGCCTTCGGCGTTGGGGCGACCGTCTCTTTCTCTTTGCTATCGCCGCCCATGAAACGCGCGAGGCTTTCGGGCACCTCGATGCCGCCGACGTCGCGGAGCACCTGCATCATCGGGGGGAGCGTCCCCGTCATGCCTTGCAGGAAGTCGGCCGTGTTCGAGCGGCCGTCTTTGCCGGAGCCGTTCTCCCAGACGACGACCTTGTCGAACTTGATGTTCGAGATCGCCTTGGCGGAGGTCTCGGCCAGCGTGTCGAGGTGCTCGAGCATCATCAGTTGGAATGCTTCGCGGGCGCCGCCGCACGCGGCGACGATCTGCTTGAGGCCCTCGCCCTTCTTGGCGAGGATCTCGTACTGGCCGCGGGCCTCCGCTTCGAGCTTCGCGTAGACCGCCGCGGCGTTGGCGTTGGCTTCGAGCTTGATCCGCTCGGCCTCGGCTTCGGCCTGGACGATAAGCCGCGCCTTCTCGGCCTTGGCGACCGCTTCATACTCGGCGCGCTTCTCGGCCTCGACGCGTTCGGCCTCCGCGAGAGCGGCCTTGGCCATCGCGCGGTTCTGCACCTCGATAACCGAGGCTTCCGCTTCACGCTTCGCCGCTTCACCGCGGTGGTAGGCCTCGGCCCTTTGGACGAGCAACTCGGCTTGCGACTTGGCGACCCTTGCGGCGGCGATGTTCTCACCATCGACTGCGGTGGCGTCCGCTTCGGCCATGGCGATACGCTTCTGCCGCTCGGCTTCTTTAACTTGGACTTCGCGCTCGAATTCGGCCGTCTGCTCGCCGACCGTCTGCTCCTTGAGCATCATGGCGACCTCGATCGCCCGGTCACGTTCGGCGGCCTTCTCACCGACGGTCTGCTCTTTGAGTAGCTCAGCGAGACGCACCGCCTGCTCGCGCTCGGCCTCACGGGTGCCGATCTCGCGCAGCTTCGTGGCGTCGGCGACCTTCACGGCCTTCTCACGCTCGGCGTCGGCGACGCGGATCTCACCCTTCCGCAACTCGTCGGCGACGTCGCCACGCGCCTGCTGGATCGCTTCGCTGGCGGCCTTCTGACCGATGGCGTCGATGTAGCCCGACTCGTCGGTGATGTCGGTGATGTTGACGTTGATCAGCACGAGGCCAATCTTCTTCAGCTCGGGCTCGACCGAGTTTTGAATGTGCTGAAGGAAGGTGTCACGGTCGCGGTTGATGTCCTCGATCCGCATCGACGCGATCACTTGCCGCAATTGACCGAAGATGATTTCTTCGGCCTGTTTGCGGATCTCGTTCGTGCCCAGGTCCAACAGGCGGATCGAGGCGTTGCTCATCACCTCCGGCTGGGTGCCGATGGCGACGGTGAAGACGCTCGGCACGTTGACGCGGATGTTCTCGCCCGACAGCGCGCCGCGGAGCGGGATCTCGATCTGGATCGGCTCGAGGCTCAGGTAGCGGAAGCCCTGCACGAAGGGGATCACGTACGTGGCGCCGCCGTGGATCGTCTTGGCGGTCTTGCCCCCGCCGACGAACATGCCGTACTTGACGAGCACCTGGTTCGAGCTGCAGCGCTTCAACGTCGCTTTGATGAAGGCGAAGAGCGCTACCAGTATAGCTACGCCCGCCAGGATGATTCCAAGGGCCCAAACGCCAGGCGGAAAATTCATCGCCGCAATCGGGGGCATCGTGAGCGAGAGGTTAGCGAGCGCCATGGGGTTGTTCCTTAACTTGTGGGCAATTCTTTGCGGTTGATTAATGTATGATTGTCTTCGGGCGCGATTGGAGTTTCCTACGGCGCGTTGATCCGTAGCGGCGCGACTTTGACGGTGTCGTTGGAAACCACGTCCATCACCAACACCTTGGAGCCCGTGGCGAGCGGGTGGTCGGAGTCCGTCAGCGCTTGGTATTCAACCGTGCGGCCCTGCATCGTGAGCTGGACCTTTCCCGCTTGGCGGTTGGACTCGGCAATCGGGATATAAACCTCGGCCGTCTGGCCGATCGCGTTGTAAACGTCTTCGTTGCCTTGCGTTTCGAAGCGGAAGATTTGCTTGAAGGCCCAGTAAACGGCGTACATGGCGCCGTAACCAGCGAGGCCCGCCAGCGCGAGCGATACGCCCGCCGAAGCGCCGGTCGCGTTCGCCGCGCCGCCGACGAGGCCGAAGAACGTCGCCGCGGCGGCGAGCGTCCGTAGCGAAATCATCTCGAAGAACCAGAAGCCCGACGCGTCCGAGACGCCGGCGTCGTCGCCCCCAGGATCGATTCCCGGCGCGTCGTCGAAGCCGCCATCGTCGCCCCCAAAGATCATCATCACGAGCTGCCACAGCAGCACGACGCCTCCGCCGATCGCGAAGTAGAGGAACAGGTTTTCGAGGTTCATCGGACGGGCCTCGCCGGGGAGACTAACGGGTCCGCGCCACGCCGGGCGGTTGTCGGCAGTGTTTCGTCGGAGGAGGAGCGATCTTGCCGCGATTGGCTCCGGAAAAGCCCGCAGCGGCGCGGATTGTCCCCCTTCTGGGGTCCCCCGTCAAAGAAACTTAGCTCTTCCACCCCCGGCGCCGCTCCCGCCGCGGCCCGCTGG